ATGGTGAAGAAAACACTTTGAAAAAAGTCCACAATTTCCCCACAATCGGGATTTGTTTCAAGCTAAAAATTGGAAAAACCAAAGGGAATACAATGCTCTCACGATTTCTAGAGAATTTAGGCATAGATTCTCGAGACACTTAGATACGTTATCTTCCCCACCTCAACGGAGGATAGATGGTGAAGACAACACTTCGAAAAAAGTCCACAATTTCCCTAATATCGAGATTTTTTATTGGCCAAAAAAATCTAAAATACCAAAGAGAATTGGGTGCTATGTCGGTTTTCGATAAATCTAGGCATAGATTCTGAAGACATTTTGACATGTTATCTTCCCAACCTCAGTGAAGGATAGATGATGAAGAAAACGCTTCGAAAAAAAAAAGTCCATAATTTTCTCAATATCGAGATTTCTTATGAGCCGAAAAATTGAAAAAACCTAAAGGGAATCGGGTGCTATGTTGGTTTCTGGTAAATCAAGTCTTGCAATTTAATTCAATAAAAGTTTTATTTTATTTAATAGTTTGAAAGTTTCTTTTGATTTCATGGTTGGTTCTATGGCGTATTTTTATGGCCAACAACTATGTTTTTGACAGTAAATATGAGGTGAATCCTATAATGTTTAGACCAAGATTTTACTCTTAACATTTTAGAAAATTATTTTTCACAAATATACTAGAAAGATTTTGTTGTATGGTTGTTATAGGGGTTCATATATAAGAGTGCACCCTTGTAGAACCAATAAGTTATTGTATCTTGAAGGTTAGACCGCCATTATTTTTGAGTCTATTTTGCACCAGGACATTGTCCTAAAGGGGTGAAATCTGTCCCTTTAAAATAAGACAAGGCACGGTTCTACACTGCTCGTTGTTGCTTTTGTTGCGGAGGAAAAACTCATTTTAGCCCATCCTCAAGGCCTGGTCCAAGACTTGATTGTCCAAATTTGTTGCTGCTGTGGGTTGTATATCTGCACACGAATAGGCCTAGTGAAATGGGTCCACTTTTGAACCAGATTACCCAGAATGATCCACTATCAAAGTCCCCGAATAAGGTTTTTCAGCTTTATGAATTATATTCTTACCATAATATTATTATTATAATTCCAATACAGAGCTGGCAGATTGATATTTAATTGAATAAAATTATAAAATGGTAAATAATGATTTTTTTTTCAAGTTTAATAAGAAAATTAATTTTTAAAATTTTAATGACATGTTTATTAAGAAAATTGGATGCGGAAAGAAAAGGCTGGTGAGGTGACTCCATTTAACAAAAAAACAAAATAGATTATTATTTTCCTCCTAGTGAATTTTGTCGGGTAATTTCAAACCTCTAAATTAAAAAAAGACTTAAAAACTTAACTATTCTTTAGAAATATGTTAGTTGACACAATTATCTTGTGCTAAAGATTAAAAAATACTTGAGAATTCAGTGAAATTGACACTTAGAGATTTTGTTTTGACAAATATTGCTAAAGTGGATTTAATAATATATTTTTATGCTCACGAGTAGGTAATCTGTTTTAATTTATTTAAAGTTTTAAAATATCAAAAATGTTTTCTTATTATTTCAGAATTTTTTCCTTTATTCTTCTTTTTTATTTAAATTCTTATTGATAATTTGATGCTAGAAAAATATTTAATATTTATTTAACTAAACAATCCATAACTTTATCATAAAAAATTATTTTGGCAAGTTCTATTTTATAAACCCTACGGACTACCATGTATGTATGTGTATGCTATTAAAATTTTATGAATTATATTCTTACTTAGCAAATATCTGGAACTGTGAGTTAATGAGTAAGAGATTTTGTTGGAGTAAATCAAGGAATAATTGATATGCGGGAGTAAATCAAGGATTAATTGATATTATGTTTAATATCAATATATTGGTTATCTTTTCTTGTATCATTATGACATTATGACAAATATTGTATCTCCTTTTTATTCTTTTACATTTTAGTATAAATTAACAATGAACACTAGACTTGGGCAGGGACTAGTCTCAATCGGGTTTGGGTCTAGGCCCGATCTAGGGACCGATCCCTCCTCCATGGCCTGGTCCGGGTTTGGGACCAGACCTTTTAGGACCGTTCCTTGTGAGGACCGATCCTAGGGCCAATTTTTTAGAATCGATCCCAAATACCCAAGTCTAATGTACACTTGTACAAAATACACAATTAAATAGGAAACCATTCTTCTCCATTCTTTCTCTCCGTCAGGCAATTTCTACTTAGTCTTCTCTGGCTTCTTATGCCTTATTCTGACTGCTTAGTCCTCTCTTGCTTTTTTTGCTTTATTCTGACAGATTTCAATTTAAGAAAATTTAGAGCCAGTTTGTCATTACTAAAATTATCACTTTAAGTTGAAATTATTAATTTCTATAATTGAAAATTTTCTACCTAAATCTTGTTCCCAAAAACATGAAACTCATAATTAGAATGGAAATTTTAAAAATAAATGCAAGTTGCATATGTAGTCTCCCTTCAGCTGCCAACAATAAATACAAAACAAATATTCATCTTAGACTTTACCACCTCCTTCTAGAAACACTGGCGGAAAAGAAACACTAAAGAATAATTTTTAATTTAAAGTTATGAAAAAGATATTGAGTTAAGATATTCTTGATGGTCTGGTTGAGCAACTAAAGACCAATCAAACGCACTTCTTCTTTATTCCTAAAGGCTAAAACATGTATATTGTTTAGAATATTTTGGATTCACCTTAATTAATTGAACTGAAACTTTTATAATTCAAAGTATAATGACACAAAATATTTTAGATTGAGAGAATTTATTGATACATTTTTCTTACTTAGTGCACTAGTATATTATTAATTTTCTAACAGAGATGCCTTTCATACGGCTTCATAAGAATACCTGGCCTACCACTCTTTCGTTGAAGTGTGGTGAATTATATACATGCAAAATAATATGAAAAATATAAAAAGCGTGTACATAACAGAAAACGTTTTAAGGGATTTTACGCCTTAATTATGTGGTCCTCTTGAGTGAATATTGACGTAAGAGATTACCTTCTTTCACAGATATGTCTCAATAAAAAAATCATTTTAATAATAAACATATGGGATAACCCCCTGAGGTTTGGCTTATATAAACCCCCTAGGTATGGCCAATAACCAAGAACTCCCTTTTCTTCTCGGTTGTTGTCAGTTTTAATGGCTGTAATGCCGCAGGGAGAGAGAGAGAGAGAGAGGATGTTGCTTGGGTTATGCGGGAAGGAGGGTTCTGGGCTAGGATGTAGCTAGAAATGAAACGTAGAGAGGTCAAAGTTTGAAGGAAAATTCAATTTTAAATTAAAATAAACACAAGCACAAGTTTTCTATTTATAAAAAAATTTAAATACCTCATACAGCTATAATTTATAAAGTAATAGAAATTGAATTGAAATATATCTTAATGTGTTTTTTTTTTTTTTTTAAATAGATATTACATTATATACATTGGCTAAAATTGAATTGATATATATAAAATATCTATTCAAATAACCAAACATTTGTACAATTAAATCTATTTTTTTTTATAATAAATATAAAAATAAGTAAAACAATTTGGTCCTAAGAACCCATATTCTCCAATAATAATAAAAAAACAACATAAAATGGGCCAATATATGTCATTGGTCTCAAGACCAACTTCAAAATAACTATAAAAAATATTTTCTTATTTCCTCTAGCTTCAATATATATATCATCAAAAATGAAAAAAAATGGGTACAATTTGTGGTTCAAATTACAATTTCATCCTCCTAAATCCTGATATATAATTTAATCTTAAACTTTCAAAAAAAAAAAAAAAAGAATACAAATATAAAATGTATTAGTATTATATGATAAAGTGAAGAAAAAAGGGGCTTGTCGGCTATATATGTGGGAGAAAACTGTCTTTGTGTGGATAAAGAATTTGAAATTTAAAAAAAAATTTGGAATCTAAGTTGTTGATCAATTATAGACAATAAAGAAATAACAGGTATGAGAAGTTGAGAAAGGGAGGTTTGGTTTTGACAGCCCAAAAAGAAAAATAAGAGTTTAACTTATTTGATTAATTGAATTTTTTGTAATTTACTATTTATTTAGGGGTAAATTTGTAAAATTAATCAAAAAATTTAAAACCTAAGGAGGGTCCCCCAACCTCCGTCCCTGGTTCTGGGGATGGAAGGGAACTTGCTGAGCGTGGCGAGGAAGAAGGGTGTTAAGGTCATTCACCTTCTATCCGCTAAAACTAATGAAAAAGGACAAACTACAGGGTGTTCTTTGTCAGTATCCCATAAAAATATAGTAGCTCACTTTGAATTTGGAGAGACAAAAAAAACATTGGACACGTTGAGTGTTACTGTGCGTGAGTAAAAACTAATTAATGACTCTGTACAGCTGCCACTTGACACTTCCCACTTAGAAAAGTGCTAGCTAGCTAGAAACTAATTGAAGAAGAATGGTCTAATCTATTCATTTTTTATAGTTATTAAATTTAAAACGGTTTTCGGTTGTGCGGTGTGCAGATGTACGTAGCTTTCCTATATAAGAGTATGATCGCGTTAGGAAAAACTCATATTTACAGATAATAATTGTGATTAATTGAAAGAAAAATCATTTATTAAATACTCGAAATAATCATTTATTAAATACTAGCATCTTACATTAACGAAACCGCTAACTTACAGTTGATAAGATTACTCCAGTATCAGCCCCAGGATTTTGATCCAACGGTTCACCAGGGCCCTTAGACCTTGACCAAGGGTTGCAATTGGGGGATAACCTTATTAGTAATAGCTCACGTAAGAGCCAAAACAGTAGTCTGGATGGTAATTGATAATCATTCTGGAGAGAGATGCCACGTCCTACTGTGGAAGTGCTAGAAACATGAAGAACTAATTTTAATTAATTTTCACGATTTTTAAATTTAAAAACAGCCTCCTCGTATTGGGACTGCTGTCCTATATAAGAGTATGCTCATAATGAAGAATAAACTCACAAGTACAACATTCGGGATTTGGTCAAAGAAGAAATGTCGTCTTCTCAAGTTACAGTTGTTCCAACTTCACCACCAAAAACTATTCGTCATACTGCTGATTTCCATCCCACAATATGGGGAGATCAATTCCTCAAAGATACTTCTGAACTCAAGGTAATTACACGTACACACTCTATATGATATTAAATTTCTAGATGCACCCACCCTATGCATACACATCACAGAAGTAAAATGAATGCGACTTATATACTACATAATTTGTATAATTATATATGCATTCTTTTCTTTTAACAAAACGTAATTACCACATTGAAGCACAAAATTATCTAATATATATGTGTTCCGAGTACTTTCGAGAATGATGTATTTCACACCATTTTATGCAATGTCAATTGACAAATAAAGGGTATTTTTCTCCAATTGGTTGTTGCAATATTACCATAAAGAAAAAATGAAATAAAGATACATGTTCTATAAACACGTTATTTTTTATTTTTTTTAAAAAAGGCCTGGCTAAGATACGATGCCACTTAAATTTTGATATAAAACCGTTACACTTTTGGGGATTTTTGCATTTTTTTATCGCATACTGATTTAATATATATCATTGCTACATGCCATAAATATTGTTGATTTCATAATTACTGTTTTACCCAAAAATATTGTTGATTTCACAATAAACGTATTTACCTTTTTATTTTTTTTAATTCTATTTTTGCAGACAATTGATCCTACAACTCAAGAAGATTATGAGCAACTGAAACAAGAGGTAAAATGGATGATAATGGATACATCACAAACGAATGCTCAGAAATTGCACTTGATTGATGCAATCCAACGGTTAGGTGTGGATTATCACTTTCCAAAAGAGATAGATGATGCTTTGGAGAAAATTTATAGTGACAATATTGAATATAATGATCTCTATACTGTTTCTATCCATTTTCGACTTCTTCGACAGCAAGGAATTAAGATTGTTTGTAGTAAGTAATTCAAATCTTAAGCTATGCTAAAAATTATTATAATTATAGCGTACTGAACGAATAAATAAAACATATGTCTAATTGAAGGGGTTGTAATTAAGCAGATGTATTTGAAAAGTTCAAAGATGATGAAGGGAAATTCAAGGCATCCTTGATTAACGATGTTCCTGGAATGCTAAATCTATACGAGGCAGCACACTTTGCTATTCACGGAGAAGATATCCTAGATGAAGCCCTCACTTTTACTACGACTCACCTTAAGTCAATGGTGTCTTGTGCAAGCCCTCACCCTGCAAAACAAATAAATCACGCTCTTAATTGTCCTCTCCGGAAAGGCCTACCGAGGCTAGAGGCAAGATTTTTCATTTCTGTTTATTCAAGAGATGATTTACACAATAAAACTCTGTTAAAGTTTGCCAAGTTAGACTTCAACATGTTACAAGCAATGTACCAGAAGGATCTCAAAGACGTCTTACAGTAAGTTCCTCTTTGTCTAATGGAATTATATTTTAATATTACTAAGGTATATTGTTTTGGTTATATAGTTGAAGATGTATTTCAGGTGGTGGAATGATGTAGACTTCATTTCAAAGCTGCCTTACGCGAGACAAAGAATGGTGGAGGAATATTTTTGGGCATTGGGAATTATTTTTGAGCCACAATATGCATTTGGTATTAGGAGTATGGCCAAATTAATATGTCTGATAACCCTCATAGACGATACATACGATTCCTATGGTACAATTGAAGAACTCACACTCTTTACAGAAGCCGTCAAAAAGTAAGTAAAAAGCTTAAAATAAACCCTTTTCAAATTTCATAGTAAATCTAGAAATTGTATTCAATAAATCAATTTTCAGTTTTAGGCTTCATTAATTTTTCATTGAAGATGGTTATTTGATTTTCAGATGGGACTTTGGCGCCGCAGATATGCTTCCAGACTACATGAAATTAATTTACAAGACACTCTTTGATTTTTTCGGTGAAATGGAGGAATGTGTGGTTAAGAAAGGAGAACCATGCTACATAAATTCTCCAAAATTTTGGGTACGTGATGTCTACCTTTGCTTTACACGACTTGCACGAATATTTTTTCTCAGCATTGAGTTTTCAAGTTCGTCTAGAATATTTAATTATTTATATTAATATGCTTCCTGATTAGATGCAAAGAATTGTTCAAGGCTACTTTGCTGAAGCCAGATGGTTGAATGAAGGCTACATTCCAACAACATTTGAGGAATATATAAGTCTTGCAGCAGAAACATCTGCAGTCGAATTGATGACATCAGTTGCGTTCTTTGGCATGGATGATATTGCAACGAAGGAGGATTTTGATTGGATTTCTACTAATCCTAAGATTATAAATACAACAAGGCTTATTGGCAGACTCATGAATGATATAGGGTCTAGTAAGGTATGTATATGTATATTAATTCTATATATTTTACCTAATAATAAAAATTATCTATAACATATATGCATAAGTTTTGTAGTTTGAGCAAAAGAGAGGACATATTCCCTCGGGTGTTAAATGCTACATGAAGCAGCATGGTGTTTCTAACGAAGAGGCGGTTGAAGCGATTATGGAACATGTTTCCAACGCATGGAAAGATGTGAATGAGGAAATGCTAAAACCAACTGCTATATCAAGGTCTCTGCTGGAGAGAGTTCTTAATTATTCTCGTGTAATTCATATTTTATACAAGGATGATTATGATGCCTTCACGGATGCATATAAGCTTAAAGACCAAGTTATCTTATTGCTCAAGGACCCTGTGCCTCCTCACGAGTAGCTTCATATATATCCACGAATTACTTGTAGTACTCCATGATATGTCTCTAGACAGGGATTGAGTTATACTCCCCCAAATAAATGCTACATTGTAATAAATATATGTTGTCTAAAATGCCTTGAAGACATATTGGCACCTTTAAACAAGTCTACTGCTAAACTTTGCAAAACTATAACAAACACATACAACACAATTTTAAAAATAAAAAAAGTCAAAATTATCAATTACAATACACGCGGAGATTAAATACTAAATGCAATTTGGCCATTTCATATTACATATATTGCATATCTTTCACATTCTAACTTCGATAATTGCAAAGTTTATTCTGTGTTTGCTAGCTATTAATTTTTAAAAAAAATTGTATTCTTACCCCATATATTCTGATTTCAAACTGGAATACTAACCACTTAGAAACATTAGGTAGATAGAACTTTGAGCATATATATGAGTATGAGATTTGAATATTTTAAGAAAATTAATTAAAAAAAAGGGGTATATCTAGGCGTATAATTATGAGCAATTGAAAAGAGATGAATAATCTTAGTCACTTATTTAAAATTTATTATGGGTGAACGGAATATATGCTATGTCCTTAAAATTAGGTTTATTTTCCCCAATTTCAAACTTAATTAGGTGTTTTATTTTATACCTTTTTCCCTAGATCAAACTTAATTAGGTGTTGTATTTTATACCTTTTTCCCTAGATCAAACTTAATTAGGTTTTTTCTTTACATCTTTTTTCCTCCAATTTCCTAATTTCAACTTATTTTCTCTTCTTTGGATTCAAATTCATTCCGTTATGTTTTATCTATTTTTAGTATTATATTTTCATCAAACAAGCAATTTTTTAAAATAAAACAAAAGGTCTCAATAATTATGAAAATTTAGGATTAGGTTACGAAAATTGGGGCTAGGGTTTATTTAAGGTTAAATGTTAAATGTTAAAAATTAAAACACACACACACACACACATATATATATATGCGTAATGCCTTTGCTTGAGCGAGTTGTTAATTATTTGCGTGTAATTCATGTTTTCTACAAAGGATGATTATGATGGCTTCACGGAGGCTCTTGAGTTTAAAGACCAAGTTGCCTTATTGGTCACAGACCTTGTGCCTCTTCAAAAGAGTAGCTCTATATCCACTAATTAGATGTATATGTTTGTGGAGTTAATGGGAGTCAAAATTACGTCTTTAACCAAGATTGAATTATATTAATTCTCTCAATTTTTGTACGCCAAAGTATCAAATACATAGCCATTTCATATTAGATATAGCAAATCTTTGAAATACAAATTTCACACTAGCTCACATTCTAACTATTGTTTTAAAACCCGGGCTGGACGGCAACCCATTTCACTACCTGGGTCCAATCGATTAGACCGGTAGGTTGGACAGGTGATGTTAGCACTGCCAAAAATATATCTTTTTTTTTTTTTTTTGAAAAATTTCAGATTTTCAATAAGAATACTAGCTTAATTACAATCCAATTCAAACTCAATAACAATCCCAACGTGATTTAACTATAATCCAAAGTCTCCAAACATGATGTGTTCATCCATTACAAATTAAATGACAAAATACATAATAATTAATAACAAAATATTTGGTGCAAGTGTTTTTTACATACAAATTTAGTGAACAAATTATGCATCAAAACAATAGATTCATCAAATACAGATAGTGGAAATATCTTTACAAAAGAGAAAGGCATTGTCTTCGTTGATTTTGAGCAAGAGAAGTGTTGTCGTCATTGATTCCAGTGAAGGAGGGAGGTGTCGTTGTCTGTCGTCGTCAAGCAAGGGAGAAGGGAGGTGCATCGCCGTCGAAATCCAGCGAGGGAGGTGCTATCGTCGTTGGTGACACAATCCAATGAGGGAGGTGCTGTCGTCGTCGAGCAAGGGAGGAGAAGGGAGGTGCGTTGTCATCAAAATCTAGCGAAGGGAGGTGTTGTCGTCGTCGAGCAAGGGAGAAGGGAGGTGCATCGTCACCGAACTCCAATGAGGGAGGTGCTGCTGTCGTCGAGCAAGGGTCCAAGGGAGAGTGGAGTTGAGATTGAGTTGAGAGATTGAATTGAGACTGAGTGCAGTTACTTTGAGAAGGGAGTTGGGATTTTAGAGAGTTGAGAGATTTAAGAGAGTAGAGTGGAGTGGAGTCGCATGAAAAAAACTTAAATTTAGGGTTTTTTTTCATTTTAAACATTGACCCAGTTTATCTAGCAGTCCGGTTCGACGGGTCGCACTTTCATCTGTTTAATAGCGGGTTTTATATTGGTTTGGACCAGACACACAACCGGGTCTCGGTCAAACCGGTTGGACCGGCCGGTCCAGTCCGGCTTTTAAAATAATGATTCTAACTTACACAAGTGCAATATTTATGTGCACGTAGAGACATATAAAGTCCAAGAGCCTTAGCGTGTAGGGATAAAGCTCTCGGGATTGGTCCTATAATTTGGATCTCTTCTAATTGCCTATGTCTTAAGTCTTAACAATCAGTTTCTCTTTTAATTGCCTCTGTCTTAACAATCAATTTCTCTTCTAATTGCCTATGTCTTAACAATCAGTTTGGTTTATGATGAATCCATTGATCTGACATCTCTTGGAAGTAAAAGAGTAGTGTGTAGTCTTAACGTGACACAACTCACCCTGGCCCTCCCTATCTTATAAGCTCTGGACACACCTATAAGACTCGGGTGACCGAGATGTGCCATGTAAAAATTGTGAAACTCATAAATAAATAAATAAAAATTGCTTTCTAAGTATGCTTCTCATAAAAACATTCTCTTGATTTGACATGAAAAACATAACATATAATATATACGTATTTGAATATTTGAAAACATAGCACATTCATTTTATGAAACCTGAAGAGCGAGGTATCAGATTTTTCATATCTGTTACAATCAGTCATACGAGATAAACATATGAAATAAAACATAATCTGCTATGGAACAAACATGACATTTTACACATATGATGAGACGATGACATGTGGGCCCAACCTCGAGAGGAATCAACTCCTCGACACGATCTTCCTATGAACCTGGGTGAAAAACAATCTAAAAGAGGGTGAGCTGAAATACTCAATGAGTGGGGAATGGGGAGTTAAATATTTTTCAGAAAAATAATAACTCTATAAGTGTTAGTGATTGATCTAAAAAATGCAGTGGAAAAACAATAAATTAAAAAAAAAAAAATCAGTCACTTTCTACACCAAGATCCAGGTGTAGATCAAATTGCTTATAGGTTAATAAACAGAAAAACTGTACAATATAAATCATAGTAAATAATCCATACAAGGATTAAGAACATGTTACCAACATTTGGAGGCTCCTTCAATACTTTGATGTCGTGCAATCCAATTCAATCATTTCATCATCAGTTATCTCATCAAGACTGAGGTAGAGAAATAGTGTCAACCTCAATTATCCTCGAGATTGTCATTAGTATGCACTTTACTGATCTGTACATCTTTCCTCTCAACCATTTCTTTAATGAGATGAAAACGTCTGAGTATGTGTCTAGACTTCTGGTGAGACCGTGGTTCCTTTTCTTAAGCGATTGCTCCATTGTTGTCACAATAGACATCTATCAGATTAACAATCGTGGAAACTACACCAAGTTCAGTGACGAACTTCTTAATCTAGACTGCCTCCTTAGCCGCATCGAATCATGCAATATACTTAACCTCCATTGTAGGGTTTGCTACAGTGCTTTCCTTAGAGCTCTTCTAGCTCACTGCACCCTCATTGAGACAAAATACAAACCCTGATTGCGATCGATAATCATCTTTATCCGTTTGGAAACTAGCATCACTGTATCCTCTTATAGTGAGCTCATCTTCCCCTCCATAAACCAAGAACATGTCCTTAGTCTTTTTCAGGTACTTTAGGATGTTCTTGATAGCTATCCAATGACGCTCATCTGAATCCGATTGATATCTACTACAAGTGTTTAACGCACATAAGACATCAATCCAAGTGCACAACATGGCATACATGATGGATCCAATTGCTGACACATATGGGATCCTCTTCATTCTATCTCTCTCATCATGTGTTTTAGGACACATGCCCTTAGAGGGATAGACACCATGTGATATCGGAAGAAATCCCTTCTTGGATTCTTCCATACTGAATCTCTTCAGTACCTTGTAAATGTATGTACTGTTAGAGTCATGAAAGTGACTCTATTTTGGTGATAAAAATACCCCAAGTGTGATTAAATTGAAGTATATTGAGACAATTAAAGAATTTATGAATTTATTCACGAAAATCGCTTCCTAATATTTTTTCTTATGAATTTAACATGTTTGGAATGATTTTGGAAAAGATATGAGTTGATATTAGGTTGTGGTTTATAGATTAGGGGTGATTTTGTCTCATTTATGCTGTTTTGGGGGTAAACTGTCATATTTATAAGGGTTGATTTTGTCACTTTTCAATCATGCAGGGAACAAAGTGATATTTTCCACTTTGTGCATAAAAGAAGAGGAAGCGTAAAAAATGTCCAGCGCCAACACCCTCTATAGTATTTTCCGATGACTCTTCCCCTTCCATTTCCGGCAATCTCCAGCGACCCTTCACCTTTCATAAGCACCGATCCAAACCACGGCAAACCACCACCGCAATTCACGCAAACGCAACGATGCTTTGTCTTCCACCACCGTGACTTTTCGTCTTCCATGCTAGATTTTGCCATTTTTCGATGACATTTCGGCTCCCCAGGACTTGATCTCCCTTCCCCACGGCCGGATCTAAACATCCCAAGGTTCAACTGTCACAAAAACCGCCGGAATCCGCCATCTAGCCACCGCTACTCTGCATCTTCCAGCCGAGATCCTGCTCATTTTTGGCCACTTTTCAGCTCCCGAAGACCTGATCTAAACTCCCCATCACCAGAGCTTTCCATTGGTACCTTCAGATCCCATTTCCGCCACCATTTTTCGGAAGACCCGCCAGAAAATTAACGTTTTTCGGCGAGTGTGGCTATTCATATTCCGGGCTGTCTATTGGTCGTTTTCACCCCTTCTTCACATCATATCGCTGTCAGTTACCTCCTCTTCACCATGATCAGCTTCGTTTCCACCGTTTCAGTCTTCGTCATCACCACCATGAGCGGCTGAGTTGTCGGTTGTCTATT